CCTTACAATCACCTTGGAATCACTGGTCATTTTCCTTACAATCACTAGTTAATCACCTTAGAATCACTGGGTAATTACCTTGGAATCACTGGTCATTTTCCTTATAATCACTAGTTAATCACCTTAGAATCACTGGGTAAATTACCTTTGAATCACTGGTCATTTTCCTTATAATCACTAGTTAATCACCTTAGAATCACTGGGTAAATTACCTTTGAATCATTGGGTAATTACCTTAAGAGTCTCTGTTTAATTGCCATCGAATCACTGTTCAATCCCCCTCACAATTACTTGGTAATTACCTTAGAATCACTGGACAGTTACCTTGAACTGATCACTTGTAGTCAACATTCAATAAGTTTATAATCTCTGGTAATAATTTATTACATGTCTTTAGATGATTTAGATTTAGACACTTCTGAGTGTTTAGACACCCGCCACACATCACCAGACTGTTGGTATACGCCTGAGACAACCAGGAACCACTCTTAAGAAGTCTCTGGCTTCGGTTCACTACCAAGGATCAGCTTTACAACCGCTGACAATATGGTGCTAACCGACACCACTGATAACACCACTACCACCACTGATAACACCACTACCACCACTGATAACACCACTACCACCACTGATAACACCACTACCACCACTGATTATACCACTACCACCACTGATAACACCACTACCACCACTGATAACACCACTACCACCACTGATAACACCACTACCACCACTGATAATACCACTACCACCACTGATAATACCACTACCACCACTGATAACACCACTACCACCACTGATAACACCACTACCACCACTGATAATACCACTACCACCACTGATAACACGTCCGCTACCGCGAAGACCTGCTGGGAACTGACCACTGACGCGTCCGTGTGTGTGTGTGTGTGTGTGTGTGTGTGTGTGTGTGTGTGTGTGTGTGTGTGTGTGTGTGTGTGTTGTAGTGATAGGATTAGTACATGCATGGAGGACGGAGACAGAAGAGGAAAGGGAGACACGAAGGGAGGGAGGTAGATAGGACTGTTGTGGGAGAGGTAGAGTTACAAAGAGAGGGAGAGAAGGAGGACAATCCCGGAGAAGCAATAGTAGTGGAAAAGGGAGAAGGGAAGGCAGACAGGAGAGAGAGAGAGAGAGAGAGAGAGAGAGAGAGAGAGAGAGAGAGAGAGGGAGAGAGAGAGAGAGAGAGAGAGAGAGAGAGAGAGAGAGAGTGTGTGGTGCATCATATTCGAGAGAATAATCCTCTTACAGTGAGAGGTGTGGCTTCATCTATTGTGGGGGAGGGAGGGAGGAAACAGAGAGAGGGGGGGAGGGAAGAAGAGTGGGGGGGGGGAGGCAGAGAGAGTGGAAGTATGGAGACAGAGTGGGGGGTAGAAGGTTTGGTAGCACTAAAAGTAGACGTTCTATATCAATTTTATCTTTAATGAACATAACTGTGACTATGTCGACGCCATCTGTTGAGCGCACCCGACCCCAATTCTTTTAGATGGGGAAGTGTGACGATATCATCACCAAGTGTTGAGCAAAAATAGTTGAGCGCCCCCGAACCCATTTTCTGTTCCCCGGTGGAAGGCTGTGATCTTAATGACACCTGTTTAGTTTCCTTATGCAGGCGATGAGTCACAATAACGTGGCTAAAGTAAGTTGACCAGACCACACACTAGAAGGTGAAGGGACGACGACGTTTCGGTCCGTCCTGGACCATTCTAAAGTCGATAGACTTGAGAATGGCCACCTCTACAAAATCAGACTAGAGTCAAGCCCATTCCTGATCCACTTGAGAATGGTCCAGGACGGACCGAAACGTCGTCGTCCCTTCACCTTCTAGTGTGTGGTCTGGTCAACTTAGTTTCCTTCTTATTATCCATCTGTTACTCCGCAGAAGTGATGTGGGTGGTACCTTGGTCGACAGGAATCAGTTCACCCTGAACAGTTCTGAACTCTAGACGTGTTCCAGTGGGAAGGAAGGAACTATCAGGGGGAAAGCGCCAAGCCATTACGACTATATAGCACTTGGAAGGGGTCAGGATAAGGATTTGGGATGGGACGGGAGGCAGGAATGGTGTCCAACCACTTGGACGGTCGGGATTGAACGCCGGCCTGCATGAAGCGAGACCGTCGCTCTACTGTCGGTGTAGACTGTGATTTGTCTGTGATACTTAGTGAAGTATTGGGGAGTGGACCGACGCATCTTGGGATGGCCAAGTTGAGCTTAGAGATGGAATTAGTGTCCGTCTGTTAAGGCTTGTTATAGTGGAGGCCAGCCAGTGTGTTGCTGGAGACCTCTGGTGTTGGAACACCACGATCTCTCTTGGACCTTGGAACACTGATCTCTCTTGACCTGTGTCGACCTCGACCCGCCCACAGTGGGCATGTGACCCACAGGCTGCAAGGTTAGGAGAGGCGGGACCCAAGCATCAGCCTCCAACCTCGAACAGCCACCAATATCACCATGGCCAGTTTTCGTCACTGCCACCAGTACCATCACCACCATCATCACTACTACCATCACCACTACCATCATCACTACTACCATCACCACCATCACCACTACTACCATCACCACTACCATCATCACCACCACCATCACTACTACCATCACCACCATCATCACTACTACCATCACCACCATCATCACTACTACCATCACCACTACCATCATCACCACCACCACCTAGATCTCCAGCACAGTAACCGTCACAAGACCGACGAGGAGACCGCGGTCTCCAGCCACGACCTTCACCACACTCGCCCTCACGACGCTGGTCTCCGGACACCATCACCGGGGAGGTGGTGGAGGGAGAGATGTCTCCGTCAGCGTCGCCTGCAGGGAATAAGATGAAAACGCTTTAGATAAGACGCGGATAAATAATGGTAGTGTGTGTGTGTGTGTGTGTGTGTGTGTGTGTGTGTGTGTGTGTGTGTGTGTGTGTGTGTGTGTGTGTGTGTGTGTGTGTGTGTGGTGTGTCTGTGTGTGTGTGTGTGTGTATGTGTGTGTGTGTATGTGTGTGTGTGTATGTGTGTGTGTGTGTGTGTATGTGTGTGTGTGTGTGTGTGTGTGTGTGTGTGTGTGTGTGTGTGTGTGTGTGTGTGTGTGTATGTATGTGTGTGTGTGTGTGTGTGTTTTAAACCTGAAATAATATCGCTGTTTGTCCTCACAATATTTGTTGAATCTACTTCATGTAAAGTTGCTAAGGACAAGGTCACCTAAGGTCAAAGGTTAAGGGCCTAAGGTAAATTAAATCCAGATTCAAGGTTATCATATAAATTTTTGTCAATGGATCGGGTCAAATGAGGTCAAAGATCAAGGTGAAGTGTTGACAAAGAATGAGATTAAAAATGCTCTTGGACAAGACTTAAACATTTAAGCGGAAACTGGAGCTGTGTAGGTCAGTTATTTCTAGAATGTTTAGCAACATTTCTTCCTCCTGTAACCTATTTCGGTCCCCAGTGTGTCCCGGTAAGGCTTTTGTGGCTCGTATTGTGGAGTGTGAGGCCTGTGGGAACCGACCTGTGAGATTTATATTTATTTAATTTATATGAATTTATATTTACGTTAATTTATATGCTTCGATAGCAATTTGTATAATGATAAGTGGACTGTATTTCTGCAATAATCTCATAATCTCACAAATCGATCCTCTACACATTAGGGGGGTTATATTTATATATATACAGCCAATCACATTGAAGAGGTTCCTTATCTTATAGTACAGCAGGTTAGTCCACCAGGTATAACTAGGGTGTAGACACCAAATTATCCTCTTTGAGGTAGCTTCCATATCACCCAGTAACTGGTGCACAAATCTTGCTTCCTCGTCTTGACCTGTCAAAAGTGCGCTAGCTGTGAAGCCAGAATCCTATATATGACAAGTATTTCAGAGAAAACTGTACATGGAACATGAAGACCTGGCTTAAATACCTTTAGTTTGAGGCTTCCACGTGATCTAACCGGGTCACCCTATATCCTGACATTAATGGCCATAAATGAATGATAAACGGGTTTCGGAAAGAACACTTAACTTGAATTGTAGACATCGTGTTGGAGATGGTACCTTTGGTTTCCATAACACTACGTTCAAGTAAAATTAACAGGAGCCGAATTTGCTCCCGTGTGAGCCTCTGGTCTCAATATAAACAACAATGGCTGCCCCTTCCTCCTCACTCTGACGCCTGGCTTACATTGTCCACATTTCAGAAAGTGATAGAAGGGTCACATTTACTCTACTTTAATATTGATAATTAAGTTAATTTATATAAGATGTTTTTATGATGGTAAAGTCCAAAGACTAATGTATTTAAGAATAATTCCCACCATAATAGGTGGTGAATTATAATAGTGTGTGGTGATGATATCCCGTTTTCTTTAGACGGTAATTCCACTACAAGTTACGTTTTCTATGGGTAACTTGTTTATACAATACAGCTATTATCTGTATGATATAAAATGGTGTCGGATTTTCCGACAAGGCCTGTATAGCAGAGAGAGAGAGAGAGAGAGAGAGAGAGAGAGAGAGAGAGAGAGAGAGAGAGAGAGAGAGAGAGACGAGAGAGAGACGAGAGAGAGAGAGAGAGAGAGAGAGAGAGAGAGAGAGAGAGAGAGAGAGAGAGAGAGAGAGAGAGAGAGAGAGACGAGAGATACGAGAGAGAGAGAGAGAGAGAGAGAGAGATACGAGAGAGAGAGAGATACGAGAGAGAGAGAGATACGAGAGAGAGAGAGATACGAGAGAGAGAGAGAGAGAGAGAGAGAGAGAGAGAGAGAGAGAGAGAGAGAGAGAGAGAGAGAGACGAGAGAGAGAGACGAGAGAGAGAGACGAGAGACGAGAGACGAGAGAGAGAGACGAGAGAGGTTGAGAGGATAGAGGTTGAAGAGGTAATGCATCATATAACTGATACAGGAGCTTCGCTGCTGATGGAACCTCCAACAAAGGTGATGAACTGAGGAAAGACCTCAGGAAATAAAGCCAGTTGCAATATCAGCCATGGCTAGAAGACTTGCAGGAGCGGTCACCTGTGCAATGATGACTTGTATAATGTGCTACTTGTATCGGCAAGCTACAAAATGGCTTCCGGAACTGAAAAGCAAGAGTTACGAGGAGAGACGAGAGGCTTTAATTATTCCAAAACTAGAAAAATAGAAGAAAATGTGGTGATATGATCACCACTTACAAAATACTAACAGGAATAGACTAAATTGACAAAGATGAATTCCTGAAACCAGCAAGTTCAAGAGGATACAGAGTCAAGCTAAGGAAACAGGGGCTAAGAAATATTATAACATTTTATTTTGCAAACAGAGTGGTAGACGGTTGGAACAAACTAAATGAGAAGGTGGTGGAGGCCTAAACATTCAGTAGATTCAGAGCATTATACGACAAAGAGTACTGGGTAGACGGGACACCACGAGCGTAGCTCTCATCCTGTAACTACACTTAGGTAATTACACACACACACACACACACACACACACACACACACAGGTGGAAACTGAGTGCCCAAATGAGCCACAGAGATATTAGAAAGAACTTTTTCAGTGTCAGAATAGTTAATAAATGGAATGCATTAGGCAGTGATGTGGTGGAGGCTGACTCCATACACAGTTTCAAATATAGATATGATAGAGCCCAGTAGGCTCAGGAACCTGTACACCAGTTGATTGACAGTTGAGAGGCGGGACCAAAGAGCCAGAGCTCAACCCCCGCAAGCACAATTAGGCAAGTACACACACACACACACACGCACACACAAACAGACCGAGTGCAACATACAAGACAAAGGACTATGCATAAAGGTAATGAGCAATGATGATACTGTAGCTGAGGCACAGACGAGGAGTCTGGCCACAGCAACACAGCCCCGCCCCCACAACACACTCCCTCTCAGTGTACCAAGTGTTAACAAGTGCCAAGGGCTCCATTAACTTGTTTACGGTGGCTGGAAGTAAACACACTTTAAATGTATAAATAAGAAATGTCGAATAACAGAATCACTGTTAACATCAGAGTGACACGAAAGGTGACGAGGCTCCTTGGACATAGAGGTGAATACTTGTAGGTGGACAGGTGAGGGGGAGAGGTAGGGAGAGTGAGAGTGACCAAGGGGAAGCCCGCCAAGGTCCTGCACCAGCTTACATGTGTGTGTGTGTGTGTGTGTGTGTGTGTGTGTGTGTGTGTGTGTGTGTGTGTGTGACGTCCGAGGCAGAAAATGACAAGGAGATGGACAAGGTTTCATTCACCTGCTGCCCCTGTTCACCTAGCAGTAAATAGGTACTTTGGAGTTAGAGAGCTGCTCCAGGATATGTGAGTATGTATTAGCAACATATGATACTATATACGATGGAGGAAAATAGGTCCAGAGTCAGCACATTAGGCAACCAACTATTAGAGAGGTGGGGTCCAAGAGCTAAAGGTCTATCCTGCAAGCACAACTAGGAAAATACACATGCATACAAATTCCTAACATTAACACTTGCCGCCAGAGACCTCCGTCAACACGCCGCCAGAGACCTCCGTCAACACGCCGCCAGAGACCTCCGTCAACATGCCGCCAGAGACCTCCGTCAACATGCCGCCAGAGACCTCCGTCAACATGCCGCCAGAGACCCCGTCAACACGCCGCCAGAGACCTCCGTCAACATGCCACCAGTGACCTCCGTCAACACGCCGACAGAGACCTCCGTCAACACGCCGCCAGAGACCTCCGTCAACACGCCGCCAGAGACCTCCGTCAACATGCCGCCAGAGACCTCCGTCAACACGCCGCCAGAGACCTCCGTCTACACGCCGCCAGAGACCTCCGTCAACACGCCGCCAGAGACCTCCGTCAACACGCCGCCAGAGACCTCCGTCAACATGCCGCCAGAGACCTCCGTCAACACGCCGCCAGAGACCTCCGTCAACATGCCGCCAGAGACCTCCGTCAACACGCCGCCAGAGACCTCCGTCAACACGCCGCCAGAGACCTCCGTCAACACGCCGCCAGAGACCTCCGTCAACACGCCGCCAGAGACCCCGTCAACACGCCGCCAGAGACCTCCGTCAACATGCCGCCAGAGACCCCGTCAACACGCCGCCAGAGACCTCCGTCAACATGCCGCCAGAGACCCCGTCAACACGCCGCCAGAGACCTCCGTCAACACGCAGCCAGAGACCCCGTCAACACGCCGCCAGAGACCTCCGTCAACATGCCGCCAGAGACCTCCGTCAACATGCCGCCAGAGACCTCCGTCAACACGCCGCCAGAGACCTCCGTCAACACGCCGCCAGAGACCCCGTCAACATGCCGCCAGAGACCCCGTCAACACGCCGCCAGAGACCTCCGTCAACACGCCGCCAGAGACCTCCGTCAACACGCCGCCAGAGACCTCCGTCAACACGCCGCCAGAGACCTCCGTCAACACGCCGCCAAATCCCATTATCAGCCAAATAACTCACACAGCCTACGCCAAACTTTGTAATTCAATAACCAGTAAATTCCTCCACTATTCATCCCATCTTAAATTCTGCCTCAAATTCTTATTTAATACAGAACATTTATTATTAAATCCTTAAATTCTGACCACGTCTTAAATTCTGCATCAAACCTCAAAATATTAAAACCTTTCTCAATATATATAAATTATTCACCATATAAAATAACATGTGGCGTTCTCACTCTTACCTAAGACCTCGTAATGAGCATTACGTCAAGGTATATTCACGGAAAATTACGAACTCTGCATAATATCGTAAGAGAGGCTTTTTGTGGCTTAAGTAAGAGAACGCATAAACCAGAGGGGAGACTATAGCATTAAGGCTTCCCATGGACGCCATGTTTTATGGTTATTGCGGACTATACGACACCGTCTCTGCCGCCTCGGCACCCGCACACTTACACCCTTGCTACGGGCGAGGGGCCAGATTCACGACGCATTTACGCAAGCACTTACGAACGTGTACATCTTTCCTCAATTTTTGACGGCTTTGGTTACATTTATTAAACAGTTTGCAAGCATGAAAACTTGCCAATCAACTGTTGTTAGTGTTATAAACAGCCTCCTGGTGTTTCGGAGCTCATTAACTGTTTAATAATTGCAAACAAAGACGCAAAAGATTGAGATAAGATGTGCAGGTTCGTAAGTGCTTGCGTAACTGCTTCGTGAAACTGGTCCCAGGAGAGGTAGACGATCTCAGTGTAGCGCTCTACCGCTGGACGGTAGACGGACGGTCTCGCTTCGTGCATGTCGCCGTTCAATTCCCGACCGTCTAAGTGGTTGGGCACCATTCCTTTCCCTCCCGTCCCATCCCAAATCCTTATCCTGACCCCTTCCCAGTGCTATATAGTTGTAATGGCTTAGTGCTTTCCCCTCATAAATCCCCCCCTATCTCTTTCCATCCCTCCCTCTCCCTTTCTCTTCCTCCCTCTCTACTCAGTTCTTCCTTCCCTGTCTCCCTCTCTTCAGTAAACAAACAGGAGATAGATACAATAGACTCACAAACAAAGCCACCTCATAAAAGACCTCCCCCCCCCCCCCAGAGAGACAGAGAGCTGTGGGATCAGGTCGTGTTGGTCGCGTCTTTCAGAAGCCTTTGAGTCCTCGCCCCCGCCTGCAGACCCTCCTACACAATATTGCCACTCGGGGCGCCGCTGGATCATTAAGAACGACTATGAATCCGAGATTTATAAGAACGTAAACAAAAATATAAGAGAAAAACGTCATTTCTGCTTCCACCTTTACATGCAATGGTTTACGACGTATCCTTCAATGTAGATTTTAATTATATATGTAAAAATGTTTTACATCTTGTTTGTAAAAGTGTTTTAGAGTTATATAATGATTTTTCAGTCTATTTATACCTGTGTCAACATTTTGTAAGTTGGGGCATTTAATTATAATTCAAATTGGTAAGAGGATTGTTTCGTGATAAAGGTGTACAGATCCCTGTCTCAAGAACAAGGTGTAGAGACTTGGAGGGGTAGGAAGGAGGTGGAGGAGCTGAGAGAGAGAAAGTAGCGAAGGTTGTGGTGAGAACCCGGGATCATTTGTCCTCTCATATCATATTCCTTCCTACCACTGACTCGACCAGCTGTTGGTGCACCACCCCAACCACCACCACCACAACTACCACCACTACAACTATCACCACTACAACTACCACCACTACAACAAGTACCACCTTTGCCCACCATTCCTACATTCCGTCGTCATACTCTTCACTAGTGTCTAGTCTAGTCATGCTGACTTAGCACTTTCACCTCAAGATTTTCACACCTTAATAAACTTTATTTAACGAAGTAACAGCAAAGAAAAATTATAAACTTTCCCAAACTGAAGACGTTGTCTGAACCTCTGAGAAAGATGTGAAAAAAATAGTCCGAATTACTAACTAAAAATTGAGGTACCTGGAACAACGGAGCCTAGCCCGACCCTGCAAGGACATCTAGGTGAGTACAACTAGGTGAGTACACACACACACCAATAAATAATATGTAGGCGTCTTTAAATGTGAGAAAGTGATCGTTTACAGCAACAAATAATTAGGGGCCAGCAGGTGTGTTAATTAAAGGAAAGCGCCACACCTGTCCGTGTCATCAACAAGAACACACCTGCCCGCGTCATCAACAAGCCACACCTGCCCGCGTCATCAACAAACCACACCTGCCCGCGTCATCAACAAACACACACCTGTCCGCGTCATCAACAAGCCACACCTGCCCGCGTCATCAACAAGCCACACCTGCCCGCGTCATCAACAAACACACATCTATCCGCGTCATCAACAAACACACACCTGTCCGCGTCATCAACAAGCCACACCTGCCCGCGTCATCAACAAACACACACCTGTCCGCGTCATCAACAAGCCACACCTGCCCGCGTCAACACGCCACACCTGCCCGCATCATCAACAAACACACACCTGTCCGCGTCATCAACAAGCCACACCTGCCCGTGTCATCAACAAGCCACACCTGCCCGCGTCATCAACAAGCCACACCTGCCCGCGTCATCAACAAACACACACCTGTCCGCGTCATCAACAAGCCACACCTGCCCGCGTCATCAACAAACACACACCTGTCCGCGTCATCAACAAGCCACACCTGCCCGCGTCATCAACAAGCCACACCTGCCCGCGTCATCAACAAACACAAACCTGTCCGCGTCATCAACAAGCCACACCTGCCCGTGTCATCAACAAGCCACACCTGCCCGCGTCATCAACAAACACACATCTATCCGCGTCATCAACAAACACACACCTGTCCGTGTCATCAACAAGCCACACCTGTCCGCGTCATCAACAAGCCACATCTGCCCGCGTCATCAACAAACACACACCTGTCCGCGTCATCAACAAGCCACACCTGCCCGCGTCATCAACACGCCACACCTGCCCGCATCATCAACAAACACACACCTGTCCGCGTCATCAACAAACCACACCTGCCCGCGTCATCAACAAGCCACACCTGCCCGCGTCATCAACAAACACACACCTGTCCGCGTCATCAACAAACACACACCTGTCCGCGTCATCAACAAACACACAATTAAGTTTTCCGGAAAGATATTTTCCAGAAATATATGTTTTACCCCCACATATGTTACATAGCTTCCAAGCCCAAGCTTCAGCTCCTGGGCACAGGCAGCGTGGCCTCGGGGCCGGGCCTGGGGGAGTAGAACAACTCCCAGAACCCCATCAAGCAGGTATATAAGCCTTTGCAACTGTGTGCCGTTTAAGGCAATGCTTCCCGACACCTTTATGTGGTGTAGTATGAGGGTAGTACTGCTTTACAGTAGCAGTGGTACCTTTATCACCTCTCTTACCTTCTCCAGGAGGTCCCTTCCCTCCTCTCTCTCAACGGGGTGAGGATAGCTTCAGCTACCTCATCCCTTTGTGTGTATTTTACCTCAATAAACTTATTTCAATTTCAATTTCCTCTCTCTCCCTCCTACTTTATAAGGTAAACTATTGTTCATGTAGCAGTTATTACTGCAACTATGTGTAGTCACTTTAGGAGGTATAAGAGGTCTGGGGCCAGATTCACGAAGCAGTTACGCAAGCACTTACGAACCTGTACATCTTTTCTCAATCTTTGGCGGCTTTGTTTACAATTATTAAGCAGTTAATGAGCTCCGAAGCACCAGGAGGCTGTTTATAACAATAACAACAGTTGATTGGCAAGTTTTCATGCTTGTAAACTGTTTACTAAAAATAACCAAAGCCGTCAAAGATTGAGGAAAGATGTACACGTTCGTAAGTACTTGCGTAACTGCTTCGTGAATCTGGCTCCTGGGGTCCACACCCTGCCCTCACTATCCCCAGGTTGGGGGGGGGGGGTGCTGGATAGGAGACACACCTAACCAATCCCAGTGACGAAAAAACGAAAAATACTGGAAACATTCTTCCCTTCGAGGTTTATAGAAGAGGGAATTAGATCAGCGAGTCCTTGTTGTCAGACGACTGTGGAGTGGCTGTCCTCCCTGGCCAGACTGGTGCAGGCTCCTGATTGGTTGTCCTGGCTACCTGTCCTCCCTGGCCAGACTGGTGCAGGCTCCTGATTGGTTGTCCTGGCTACCTGTCCTCCCTGGCCAGACTGGTGCAGGCTCCTGATTGGTTGTCCTGGCTACCTGTCCTCCCTGGCCAGACTGGTGCAGGCTCCCGATTGGTTGTCCTGGCCATCTGTCCTCCCTGGCCAGACTGGTGCAGGCTCCTGATTGGTTGTCCTGGCTACCTCTCCTCCCTGGCCAGACTGGTGCAGGCTCCTGATTGGTTGTCCTGGCTACCTCTCCTCCCTGGCCAGACTGGTGCAGGCTCCTGATTGGTTGTCCTGGCTACCTCTCCTCCCTGGCCAGGCTGGTGCAGGCTCCTGATTGGTTGTCCTGGCCATCTATCCTGTCTAATTATTTTCCTGACTTGCCCTGAAGAGATAGTCTGTCAGACAGTCCAGCGGGCTTGGCCTTGACCGAGCTTTATCCCTCACCACCCTCATGCCCCTGTTCACCTAGCAGAAAATAGGTACCTGGGAGTTAGACAGCTGCTACGGGCTGCTTCCTGGGAATGTGTGTATGTGTGTGTATGTGTATGTGTGTGTGTGTGTGTGTGTGTGTGTGTTAGAGAGAAATATGTGTAGTAGATATAACAGAGGAAAAATAAATTGACAAAAAAGGCGGAGTCCAAGAGCTAATTAACTCCATTCCGCAGATACAAATAGATAATACAGATAGTAAATACACACTTCCCACTTCTGTCAACTTTCTCTTCAGTTTCCCTGTGGCTCGCGACCCGATATTGGATGGATTGAGAGGTAGACGGCTATCAATCGTGGTGTTGGTCCGGGAGAATTTGTTCACTTGTCCTTGTATGAATGGTGGGTAACGACGGGTCGCAAGGCGGCTATAGGTGCTGGTGACGTGGACGGGGACGGAGAAGGAGAGGTCTGGTGGATAGGCGTACGGCTGGGAGTGTGTGGGGTAGGACACTGTTGAATCATAGGGATAGCAAAGGTTGAGAGGGGTGGATGTCAGTGGCTGGAGTATTCGGAAAAAGAGATATGGAGGGATAGGTGGAAGGGGGGATAATAACTGTGAATAGGAGGATAGGTTTGTGGCATAAATGAGATATATGGGGGATATTAAAGCATGAGTTGAAGAAGGATAGAAGGATAGAACAAGTATTATACCATACACATTGTTTGGTCATATTGCCTGCGACAGGAAGCCTACTACGATCCTTTGAAGACCTACCTGGTTGATACCTGGTTGATGGGGTTCTGGGAGTTCTTCTACTGCCCAAGCCCGGCCCGAGGCCAGGCTTGACTTGTGAGAATTTGGTCCACCAGGCTGTTGCTTGGAGCGGCCCGCAGGCCCACATACCCACCACAGCCCGGTTGGTCCGGCACTCCTTGAAGGAAACAATCTAATTTCCTCTTGAAGATGTCCACGGTTGTTCCTGTAATATTTCTGATGCTCGCTGGTAGGACGTTGAACAACCGTGAACCTCTGATGTTCATACAGTGTTCCCTGATTGTGCCCATGGCACAATCAGACGTTGTGGTATCAGATAGGCCCTACGTTGGCCTATCCTCTGCATCACCCATTCAGTCATGGTTTATAACCTGACTGACGCCCAGCTGTCTGCTAAGGCAGGCTATCACCAGGGGGCCAGATTCACGAAGCAGTTACGCAAGCACTTACGAACCTGTCCATCTTTCCTCAATCTTTGGCGGCTTTGTTTACAATTATTAAACAGTTAATGAGCTCCGAAGCACCAGGAGGCTGTTTATAACAATAACAACAGTTGATTGGCAAGTTTTCATGCTTGTAAACCGTTTAATAAATGTAACCAAAGCCGTCAAAGATTGAGGAACGATGTACTCACCTATTTGTGCTTGCGGGGGGTTGAGCTTTGGCTCTTTGGTCCCGCCTCTCATGTACGTGTTCGTAAGTGCTTGCGTAACTGCTTCGTGAATCTGGCACCAGTTTTCCAGTCTCGCTAAAGTGTCTAAATCTGTCTATAAATATTTGTGTTTTGTTCCTGATATTATTACTACCATTGTTAAGAAAATAAAGAATATTGTTGTCACAATGAAATAATTTTTAGATATAAAGATACAGTGATGAGTCGGCTCAAGCTGTTCTCAACACGTTCAGTACATGTTCATTACTCACTCGTCACAAGCAACACAACACAACCTGATGACAAACATTTACATGTGTGTTGTAGGAGGTTATCAGCCAACATACAACACAAGAGTTAAGCAGACTGGAAACATGGCAACACCGCCCACACAATACTCTGCAAGGAGTTAATGAATTACGTCAGAAATAACTATACCACATCCCGTAAACACACTTCCAGGGTGTGTTATAGAACGAGTGGGCGGTGAGGGCAGTGTGGGGGGTGAGGGTGGAGGGCGGTGTGGGGGGTGAGGGCGGTGTGGGGGGTGAGGGCGGTGTGGGCGGTGAGGGCGGTGAGGGCGGTGAGGGGGGTGAGGGCGGTGGTGCAGGAAGAACACTTACTGCCATACTGGAGCCATCAGGAGGGAGCCCAGGAGCTGAGATCACCAGCCACTAGCCCCGGGAGGAGGAGGAGGCTTGGAGCCTAATGAACCACACACGTTGGGGGGGGGGGCGACAACCCTGCCCAAAATCAGGCAAAAGTTTTACCAGCCGCTCCAAATGGGTTCAGTGTTCCGTCTTGTCATATTAGACGACGATATAATCCACAGTATTTGAGGTAGACTTGAGTAACTGAAGGCGGCTTATAATGTGGTCTGCTGCCCGGCGTGAATTACGTCCTCCACGTCTGGTAATTATTTAATGGCAACAATTGTAGACGATTGATTGATGAAGATTAAGCCGCCCAAGAGGTGGCACGGGCATGAATAGCCCGTAAAACAATTGTAGATGAAGATTAAGCCACCCAAAAGGTGGTATGGGCATGAATAGCCCGTAAGTGGTGGCTCTTTTGAGCCAGTATCCATTACCAGTATCATTAGCTGATACTGGAGATCTGTGGAGGTGCGCCTGCACCCTGCGTGACGGGAGATGTCTCCCGTTTGAACAATTGTAGAGAGATGAAGATTAAGCCACCCACGAGGTGGCACGGGCATGAATAGCCCGTAAGTGGTGGCCCTTTTGAGCCATTACCAGTATCAAAAGATGATACTGGAGATCTGTGGAGGCGCAACTGCACCCTGCGTGACGGGAGATGTCTCCCGGACCAAATGGTGACCAAATGGTGGAACAATTGTATGATGATGATGAAGATTAAACCACCCAAAAGGTGGCACGGGCATGAATAGCCCGTAAGTGGTGGCCCTTTTGAGCCATTACCAGTATCAAGAGCTGATACTGGAGATCTGTGGAGGTGCGACTGCACCCTGCGTGACGGGAGATGTCTCCCGTGAATCAACAATTGTAGATTGATTGATAAAGATTAAGCCACCTAAAAGGTGGCACGGGCATGAATAGCCCGTAAGTGGCGGCCCTTTTGAGCCATTACCAGTATCAAAAGCTGATACTGGAGATCTTTGGAGGTGCGACTGCACCCTGCGTGACGGGAGATGTCTCCCGTGAATCAACAATTGTAATATAAACTCGTAATATATACTGCATCTTAGACCTTCAAGTCAGGTGGGACATGAAGATCAGGGGGCCAGATTCACGAACAAGTTACGCAAACACTTACGAACCTGTACATCTTTTCTCAATCTTTGACGGCTTTGTTTACAATTATTAAACAGTTAATGAGCCCCGAAGCACCAGGAGGCTATTTATAACAATAACAACAGTTCATTAGCAAGTTTTCATGCTTGTAAACTGTTTAATAAATATAACCAAAGCCATTAAAAGATTGAGAAACGATGTACACGTTCATAAGTGCTTGCGTAACTGCTTCGTGAATCTGTCCCCCAGGACGGGCGTAGTGGTGACCAAGGAGTCTATGGTGGTTCTCACCATACCTTGAGGTTACCTTGAGGTGCTTCCGGGGCTTAGCGTCCCCGCGGCCCGGTCGTCGACCATTCCTCCTGGTTGCTGGACTGATCAACCAGGCTGTTAGACGCGGCTGCTCGCAGCCTGACGTCTATACATGACCTCTCCTCCTGCTCCTCCTCCTGGTGGCCTGGAGGTTAAGAGGCCGTGAGGCAAGAGGGCGTCAAAGCCTGTTAGTCCCG